TAGACTCGAACGGGTCGGTCGAGCACTGGCATATTACGTCTGGCAAGTGCTTGCATGCGATCACCGACGAGCAAAACCAGCTGTATGCGCTCGACTACCGCCCTGACGGCGCCATGTTTGCTACGTCCGGCAAAGACCACACGGTGCGGCGACGATGACTGGTCTAACGGGCTGAAAATTCTGCGCCTGCAGATCCGTGTGTATGACGAAGCGACCAAGACCGAAGTGCTAAGCATGAAAGGCGGGTGGGTAACCGCCCTGAGATTTTATGCCACTCATGCCTTATCCTAGTCACGGCACGCTCACGGCCGGCCACAGCAACCGCGTCTTCTCCGTCAAGTTCCATCCCGTTGATGAGAATACTATTGTCTCGGGAGGCTGGGACAACACGGTGCAGATTTGGGACACCCGCGCGGGGCACTCTGTGCGGGGTATCTATGGCCCACACATCGCCGGTGCGTGATTTCATTTTACGACGCCGGTTGACGGCGGCACCTACCTTCTACCTAGGCGACGCCATCGACATCAACGCCAAGAATGAAATTCTCACGGGCTCATGGCGCCCCGAAAACCCGCTTGAGCTCTGGGACTATGGCAGCGGGAAACGGTTCGCGGCGATTCCGTGGAACCAAAGTGCGCTCAAAGGCGAGCCGTGCTTCCTTTATGCCGCACAGTTCTCCAAAGACCCGCGCAGCCGCCTTATCGCTGCGGGTGGCAGCGGTTCGAATGAAGGCAAGGTGTTTGACCACGATGTCAGCAACAAGGTATTCACTTTATACGACAGTATGCGTATTGCAAATCGGGTAGCTCGTGGGCACCGTCGCAGGGCTCAGCCGCGGTGTCTTCACATTGGACTTTGGCCCATCTAGGGACAAACTCGCCCTCGCCGGCGCCGACGCAGCGATTCGTATCATTGATATTTATGACTTCGTGCCGGGCGAGAAGGGCCGGGAACGCCCCGTGACCCCGTCGATCAAGTACACACCAACAACGACAGAGGAATTGCAACTAATGACAACATTAGGAATGCACCACTCACGCCGTCGCTCGATGCAGCTCCGACGGGACTTCGGTCGCCCAAGGCGACTCGCGGCCCGCCTCCGGCTGCCAACGTACTCGGTGTGCACAAGTAGGAACATGCGTCGAACGGGGACGCTGCACTGTACAAACCTGTGATCGTTCAATAAACAAAACATCGGTGACTACTCGGGAGTTGATCAACACATTTATTTGGATGCTTCATGGTCACGCCACGACGCAAGATCGAGCGACGTCACATCGTCGGCAGGCGCGACCACGCTCTGCAGGTACGTGGCGAGATGCAAGAGCTCTGCGTCCCGCGTCGCAGCCTCCTACGCACGGACAGATGTGCGGGCATAAGGAAGAGGACCGGAATGTGTCGTACGTCAGTGCAGTCGTAGCGCGCAATCGGAATGCCGTTGCGCGGGTTCAAGTTGAAGTTATGAGGCAGATCATCGACATGTACCGTGTTGCGTGCGTGCCACAGACCGGGAAAGTGGCTCCATATGATCTCAAGCGCCTTGACTTTGCTCTTACGCTTCTTTGTCGTTGAATCGTCCATCGAGTGGTAGCTGAACATGTTCGTCTTGTCCAGTATAAAGTTGATGCGGTAGTCTACCAGTGTGTTTGTTTGATGGAACAAATCGGATGTCATGTACCTGGCGTCGTGAGCATGCCGAGCTCTGTGAGCTTAATC